ATTAATTATTTTAATACAACAGTCATTTCTGCATTTTTTGGGGAGGTCACCTCCTAATAAATGACCTTACAGAAAATCTAACTRCTCATTTTAAATCAATACYTTTACWTTTGATACTTAAGTACAAAAAATATCAGATACTTTAAGACTTTTGCTCAAGTAATATTACTAAAAGAGACTTTAACTTTTACCAAAGTAATTCATTGGTAAGATACTTGTACTTTTACTCAAGTATCACTTTGTGGTACTTTACACAACACTTCAAAAATGTTCAAATACAATATAAAAGCCAATTAGGAAAAATTATCAGTCTAAGGAAGCCAGCAGATTGTGTAACCTCCACTTTTTATAGTCTCCCATACTGACCAGTACATGGGCAACAGTGGAAAAGCCATGTCTATTTGCTTTGTTTTTGTTCATCTTGATGTGATTAGTTTTCAAACGTTCTTTCGAATTGTATGACATGAGTTTTGCTACGTTCAGGAACAGTAAAATGTCTGTTTCCCGACACTCACCTAAAGCATTGAACGTCTTCTAAAAATACTMATTTGTGAAAAATTATCCTTTTAGATTGACCCGTAAACAGTCACTGCTCAATATTAACCAGTTAATATTAGTTAGTTATTGCATGGCCATGAGATAATAATGCATGAGCATTTGATAAAACAGCATGCCATGCAGTATTCAGTCGAGGCAAGGCAGTAATTATCACTTGCCCRTGTGTTATTAAGTCATGGCCACATGATATTTTTCCCCCCAAAATGTCACCAGATGAGCACCGTCATTTACTGTGTCCCATTGTGAAAAACAAAATGTTTTTATGTCATTTGCCAATCATTTAGTTATTTTTGTATTCACATTTTACTCAATGTTCCATTTTTCAAAACTGGGGTTATATTTTAGTTTTCTGAAATAATACAATGTGAAAGTTGAACTTCCTGCAAAACAAAAAGCATTGCAATAAAATATGAATTGACATTAGCCTTTTTAGTATTGACCACTGTGGACATGTGGGTCGAGCACTTTTGTTAATATAAAAAAAAATGTTTTTTAAAGTCAAACTGTGTTGATGCCTATAGGAGAGATCGACTTGGAGATGCTCTCTGAGCTCCATAAAAGGCACCCGGATGTGACGGTGGATAATGAGGTGGTGGAGCCCAGCAGCCAGCAGATACATAACTACAAAGGTACATCCTCTCTCACATTGTACATAATGCATTTCTCCATTCACAAGCACTGTAAAATAGTTGAATATATAATTTTTGTGAAAAAAAGTAAATTCTTTATTGTATTTTTTCATGCTAATGCTACACCGTAAAGCAGCCTTTACTAGTAATGAGTTGGTACATTTTTCCCCCTATTAGARTGCATGATGTCGGCAAGAATCAACCCATCTGAAGTAACTGAGTAAAACACTTGACTTTTTACCAAAAGCTTCTCTGCTTTTTTGTCTCCAGTGTTCCAGTTATTTACATACAGATATTTTGAACTTACTCTAACAATGTATTGGCTCTTCTATGATTTTTACAGCCATTGCGTTGTAAGTGTGGATCTTGGTGTTTAACATTTATTAATACTAGGGTTATATTGAAATTTATAACTGTGATTTAGCAAGATAATTTGTGATTACTTGCAATATATATATAT